GTGAGGCCTGCGTGGGAACCAGGAACCCGGGTCGCTGGCAAGGGGGTCCCTTTTGGTGGCAGTAAGAGTCTGAGTGCATCTAGCAGCGGAGGGCCGTGAGCGTCGTTGGCGAAGGCTGCGACTTCGGGGTCAGCCGGGAGAAGGCATTGGAGGGCGGAGGTGGTGGCAGGCGTCTAGGACAGGTGTCAGCGGGAGGCACCGGCGGGCAGGACAGGAGAGAGGCGGGCGTTTGGACAAGTGGCTGTGCTTTGGTGGAAGAAAGCGGCGTCGGAGGTCGTTGGCTTTGCCTGGTGGTGGGGAGGAACATGCTGGGTGTTGGCTGCGGGCAGACTCCGCCCTTTACGCTGCTGCCCCTCCGCCCCTGGAACAGACTCAGCTAGCCGCTACCAACTGTCGCTCACCACCTCCAGTCGCCGCCCCCAAACGACGCCATCGCCAGCCATGCACGCTGCCCTCCCACTGCCAACGCCGCTGATGCCTTGCCCTCGCCTCTGGCTGTGCACCTGCTGACGGCAGCTTCGGAGGTCGGCCTCGGGCACAGACACCTGCGCCTCCCGCCGCTGCGGACGCCACGGCCCACCATGGAGTGCAGCCCGTCCACGCTGCCGCCCACTGCAGACCCCGCTCCCCACCGCCCGCCGCTGCCTCTGCCGCCTCTCACGGCGCACCTGCAGACAGCGGGTTGGACTCCGCCGCCAGCCGCAGACCCCGCCGCCGAGGCGCCCGAGCCCACAGCTCCCGCAGCGGACTCCTTCCCCGCCCGATCCCTCTCCGAGCCGACGCCACCTGCCCCCAGGGGGTGGCTGCTTACTGTGGGCTGCCGCTGCGAGGACAGGCCTGCGCGTGGAGGACGCAGGGTCCCTGGCGAGGTGGGCGCCTGCAGCTGGCTGGAGGAGGCCGCTGTTGGAGAGCTCCGGCTTGTGGCGCAGGGCTTTGGCGGGCAACGACGACATCAGCGGGAGGAGGCCTTGGAGGCGGCGGGGCAGCAGCCGGCGGGGACGGTGTGAGCGAGAGGCAAGCGGTGGGGGAGGTGTGAAAGCGCAGTGGGAGGATGGCAGGCACCAGAAGTGGGCGGTGCTGGCCGATGGGATGAGCATGCGCAGTCGGCACCGGAAGTGGGCGAAACTGGCTGGCGGGACGAGCATGCGCTGTGAGCTTGGGGAGGGGGCGGTGCTGGCCGGTTGGACGAGCGTGCGCAGTGACGGTTGCGGGCGGACCCCGCACCCCTATGGCGCTGCCCCCAATCCCCTAAGACAGAGCGTGCGCGCATCAATACCACATTTCCCTTTCTGTGCAGCATCCATATAAAATAAAAGACGGTACTCACAGAACCCGAGAATGGACTAACAGTTACCAAAGGGAAAGGGACTGGGGAGGATGGGTGGGAAGCTAGGGATAAGGGGAAAAGTGGGGGGGGCATTACTATTAGCAGACATAATGTTGGGGGGGCGCGGAAAGGGCCGTGCAACACAGAGAAGACAAGAAGTGATTTTAGAGCATCTTACTAGGCTGATGGAACAGTGACCAATGGGGTATGTGGGGGGGACCTGGTGAAGGGGGGAGTCTAGTAAACATAATGTTCCTCATGTAACTAGATTAATGATACCTAAATAAATAAATATAAGTAAGTAAGTAAAGACTAGTAAGACACACGTGCGGGCTGCCCTAAGCAGGAGGCACCTGTAAACACAGCACCCGGCCTTCTAAACCCTGATCCCACGACCCCTCTGAGCGCTGCTCAGCCCCCCCCACCCACCCACCCCTCTCCCCCTCCTCCTCCACCCGTCCGGACGGTTCTCCCAAGGTGGGCTGAGGTCTTGTCTGTTTGCTAAAGACGAAGTTAAGAATCTTACTTCTTAACGTCCTGGGTGTTAAAATGCAATCTTATCTTTAAGATGGGATCCTTCCTGCCTTTCATGGCTGGGCTCACTTGCCATACTAATTGCCCAGGTTGTACATTACCTGATTAGGGGCTGGGGGAGGAAAAGCAGCATCTGGGCAAAGTTAAACATAAACGGGCCTTTTAGCAGACTAAAGTAAATTTCACAATAGCCTCATTTGATTGACACAATGAAGACAATGGGCTGTGCTGAGGTATTTTCTTATCTGGGGGATGTTTAAACACTCCAGGCCAGGTTACTCCTGGCTTTTTAGTTTTAACTAATCTTCACTGAAGAATGCTTAGACTCCCACTTTGATATTCTACTTTAGAGAAGTGACTCTGACTTTGCTTAATTGTTTAATACGGAGTTCTGGCGGGGGGTCTTTTTCCGGAGGCCCCCACCCTACTCTGACTACCCACGGTCCCTGTCTCAGAATCTCTGTGGCTAGTCATAAATTACTCAGCTGCAGATTACAAACCGAAAAGACAGAAAGGTGAATTTCTGAATACAAGAAAATGCACTGTCAGTCCCCAAATCAAAGAAACTTCATTCATAAATTAAAAATACGAGAAGTATCTCATGAAAAAAATATTAATTTCAAAGGCGCTGCCTCCAGGCGGCCTCTCCCCGTCCGCCCCGCCGCGGCTCGAGGCCCCCGCCGAGAAAATCCACACACGGCAAAACGTCCACCGGCCTCCCCGTCTGCGCGACCCGGCCCGTCCCCTCCGCCTGCGGCCCCGGCCAGAGCGGCGGGAGCAAGTCGGCGGGGCGGCCCCGGGCCGGGCGGACGCGCGCCGATGGGCGGAGAGCAGCCGCCCTCACCACCCGGGCCGGACGGAGAAGCAGCGGCTCAGGCGCACCCCACCCCACCCCACCCCGGCGAACTTCACCGGCCGCTCGGACGCCCGCCCCGGGCGCACCCGCTCCGCTCCCTCCCTTCCCGGGAGGCCCCGCCGGCGGAGCGCGCAGACTCACGACCCCCGGCCAGGCCCCGCGAGCCCACAACCCGCGTCGGCCGCTGCCCGGCCCCGCCGACGACGTGCTACCCGCCGAGCCACTCGCACGGCCGCCCCCTCATCCGGCTGCCCCGCGCCCTCAGGCGGGGGCAGGGATCCCGGCGCCCGGTTCGGGTCCCGCCGCGCCCCGCGGCCACGTACCTTCCAGCCCGCAGAGCCGTCGCTGTCGCCTTCACCCCTGAAGCGGGACCCGCTCTGGACCCTCCACCGCAGATCCGCGGGAGCGGGAGCCGCTGCTCGGCCGAGGTCTCTAAAGTCCGGCGGGGCCAGCGGCTCCAAGTCCGGGCCGATCGCCGCCCTCCGCCCGCCGCGGGAGAGCCGAGAAGGGGCGAGTGCGGCGCCGACAGCCCAGCGGGCGCCAAGAGGCCATCAGAGGCCGGGGGGCGAGGTCGGTGCCGCCCCCACGTGCGCGCCGGAGGACAGCGCAGCCAAGCAAGCGCGGGCCCAGAACTTCACGGTCCATCGACATCTGGTCTCCGCGGGGTACCCTGAGCAAATGGGGCTGCGGGCCAGACGCGCCGGACAGGGCCGCGGACCGAAGCACGGAGGGAGCCGCGAGTGTCGTCTCTCCACCAAGCGCTCGCGATGCTACCGACTTGAATCCGGCGGGCGGCGACGCCTGCAGCTAATACGCAGCCGCCGAGCTCACGTGGTCTCCGCGCGCGCCCAATGGCTGGGTGCGCGGCACCTCCCAGGGGCACGTCGGTTGGAGCACAGCCCCCACCCGGCCTCCCAGCCCAGAGGAGCCCAGAGCAGGGTAAGGCGCCTGGGCAACTCAGCAGCCAGCCACAAATGAGGGAAAAGCCCTGGTTTTTAAACTACATTGAAGAAAAGCACATTAAAACACCACTGTGCTTTACACAAATCTCCCAATATATCTACTTTTGCTTCAGGGCCTGAGTCTGACTCTTTTGATGGTGCGAGGCTGTTGCAAAATCCACAAAAATTCCACAAACGTACTGGAAGGGGAACTTTTTATATGTACAGATAAAAGACTTTTTGGGCAACTGAAACATTTTTCAACAATCAAATCAAGAGTAAAACAATTAGAAGCATGGATGATAAACTCAGCAAGGCCTTTGCACACAGCTAGACAGCCACCAGCACATAACAGGCCTGCTTCGCCAATTTCATCCAAAACTGAGGCAGCAAAACCAAATTTACTGTGTGAGTCAATCTCATGATTAAGAGTTTTAAAAATATTTAAGAATTCCCACCCCAGTCTCCCCATCCAGCCACTACAAAAAATGTACCTTCTAGTAAGGGAATCGGGACATGAATATGCAAAATAGCTGAAAAACAGAAGCAGATGTGAGTTCGTACTAAATCTGTCATTTCTGTCACAGAGAAAACAGGAGAGCAGGCGTGGGTTCATCCAAAGACTTTGTAGTGGGCAGGGGGTGGGCTGGGTGGGGGAGAAGCCATGGGACTGGCTCACTAGGCTCCTGCTACGTGAACAGCCCCACCCAGCACCCTTGGTGGCCAGGACACCCTGGGCTCCTCTTCCCTCTGCAGATGTCCATTGCTCCCCGTATGGATTTACCCCATCTTTGTTTGTGTATTTATTCCAATTGCATCTTAATCTGCCTTCTCATTCTTCAGATATGTGTTTGGACTCTTCAGAAGAGCATGAGCAGTTCAATCAAATCCATGGGGCAAGCAGCCAGAGGCACAGCCCGATCTGGGCTGTAAGACTGAGCTCAAGCCCAGCTGTCCCTGTTACTTGCTCTGTGGCTGTGAGCAAGAGGCTCACCTGTGCCTGCACATTCTCACCTGTCAGGACATCTACACAGGACCAAGATGAGGGCCAAGGCAGGCTGTGCTCACAGTGAGTCCTGCAAAGTGTGCGGCACCATGTGAACACTAAGAGAACTGCTGACCACAGTTCCTGCTTTAGAAGTGAGGAAACTGGTCCATGTGCAAAGTCACAGGATTAGGACTAGAACAGAGGTGCCCGTGGAGCAGGACCCACATGCACCAGCTGTCAGCACTCAGGCTCACCTTCTGGAGGTGTACATACCCCTAAATACCATGCACCTCGCACCCTGGGAAGCTATTGACCCCTGGCTTCCTAGGCCCTGAGGGAGGATAGGGGGCAGCTTTAACCAAACAGGCCGACCACCACAGAGGGCGCAGGGTGTGGGCCGCACAGGGTGTAGGCGAGGAGCACTCCAGCACCCACTAGGCCACGGCCGTGAACAGCACTAGCAGCTGACACGCCATGCTCGGTGTGCGCCTGACCCTGCACGCCCCATGGTCCCGGCCCTGAAGACCCTCCCCCTGTCTGCAGATGAGGGACCAGAGCCCGGAGAGGCCGGCCAGTGCTGGCGCCAGCACCCTGCAGCAGCACCCCACTGCCTCCCATGGCAGGCGGCACCCGTGCTGGCTCTGCACTCACACTCGGCGGCGAGCGCACAGCCCTGGCCCTCTTAAAACAACACCTTATGCTGTGCAGGGAGGTGGGATTCTCATCTTGTTAATTCACGCTCTTCAAGGACACAAGGCCCAGCAAATGGCAGGACATGAACAAGAAGAAAAGGTCATTCAGAGCTTGGCTAGGAACCTAGGAACTTGGAATCCAATCCTGTACGCTTCTCAGCAACTTCACGGCAGGGCTGGGAATGCTGCCCGAAACCTCCCTGCGCACACAGCCACGACTGAGGGGCATGGGGCAGCACTTGCTGGACGTCACCACCAGGAAAGGGAATCTTTTAGCTACAAGTCTGGACACTTTTCTACACATCCACACTCACCAGCTGTTTCCGACCTCTGCTGCAGGCACCAATAATCCCTCTACCTGACCTTCACTTGGATTATCACATCACATTAACTACTAATCACACTGACTGTACTGGTGACTAATTATCCTACTAATAATTTAAAACAGTATGTTACCCAATATTTTCAATATTGTCGTACTTGACCTTCTGTGCTATTATGTTAGTGATAATTTTTTCTAAGAATGTCATAGTTTTCACTTTAACTGATTTTAAAATATTTACTCCTAATTCCTACAAGTAATTTTAACATAACCAGATGCCAGTCATTTCTGAGCAAAACACATTCCTAATTTCATTTTTAAAAAATCCCTGGGAGAGAAGGCTCACTCAGAAATGCTCCTGACAACAGGCGAGAGGGGCCGCGTTTCTGGTCCTTGGCCATGGCCGCACCACAAGGCTCCCTCTGCTGGCACTTCTGAGCCACATTCCCTCGTGGACAAGGAAGGAACCTCAAGGACAGTGGCATCAGAGAACAAGAGCATGTGGGGCAGACGGCACCGGCTGACAACACAAGGACACACCACTGCGACAGTGCTCACAGCCGCCCTGGCCACAGGCACCGCAGGAAGGCTGGCTGCACTTCGTCTCTGAGTGACCCTAACACACGCGTCATCAGTGTCTGCTGAGTGTCAAGCACGGCATCATCACAGGGGCATGAAATGCTTACACATCTGCCACTGACTAGAGTGATCCCACCCATGACACACGTATGCGGGGTCTTGGTACCATCTGGGTGCATGGACACACACCATATTGATTTGCATACCAGATTCCCTTGTAACTGCCATCAGACCTTGCTTCTGAAACAGCTTGAATGACAACTCTCCAATCCTCTCATTTTCTGCATTAATGGCTTTTTGAATTTCTTGTATCTCCTTTTTTTCTGGCTGGAGGAAGTTCTTCTATTTTTTCTTTTGGTTCTGGCTCATTAGCACTATCGTCATCCTCTCCATCACAAACCTCAAAGTCATCTTCACAGTCCTACAAAAAATAATAACACTTTGGAAATGTTAGGGCAAAGTGACTTCAAAGAACACTCATACAAATCATAATTTAAAATAGACTTTTAATTTAAAAGTCCTCACTGTGGCTAAGAAAGCTTTTTATTGTTTACTGATTTCAATGGCACTGAATTATAAATCTGTGTACCATTTTTTTCTCTAAAAAGGAAACACACTATGTAGAAACATATACACTAAGAGCTCTTAGTAATAATATGGAATTTTGTGCTGAGAGTGTGTCTGTGCATACAAATATATAAAGTATGTATGTACTCTACATGCACACACATAATTACATATTCTGCATGCACATGCATGCACAAAACATATACCCTATAAACATATATACACACATGCACATACTCTATATACATCCTCTATAAACACATACACACAACTATATATATGCTCTATATACATACACACACATGAATACACACTATACATACACTGCATACACACATGAATATACACTATATATGCTCTATATACATATAAACATGCACACGCTATATGCACATCCTCTGTATACATATATACACTATACTCTAAAAACACACA